TAAAATACTTTTGGAAAAGAAGTTGCTACTTTTTTATATCGTTTATATTTCATTGACTTGCTTAAATCTTGAATAGGTTTAACACTTCGAATTGTTTTTTCTATTTCAATAGTATTGCTTTTTTAAGAAATTTGTGATTGTTTAGTTGCTTGAATATAATTATTGCTTGTTATATAATTAGAATCTTTGTCAGTAAACTTTATACATATTTTAGCAGTTGAATCAAGCTCTAATATTTTATAAAGTCGAACAAGTAAATTAATAAGTGCATCTTTACTTTCTGCTTGTTTCTTTTTTTTTGTACTTTGCTTATATATACTATGTTTTGGATAGGCACAGTATTCATTTAATTTTTTTTGATGTTCTTGATAATAGTTTTTGTTAACAACTTCACAATTATAATGTGTTTGGCAAAGACACTTTTCTTCTAATGCTCGATGTTGTTCTTCAGAAATTGGTATTGAAAACCTAATTTTTCTTAAATCACCTTCACATAATAGCTGTTCTTCAGTATTGAAATAGCACTGACATATCATTATAAAAGTATACCGGTACATGCTTATCAAATTGGGCTTTTATATTTGGCAATATAACTATTCAATTTTTTTTTTCAAAAAAAAATTTTTTAACATTTATTAATTTGATAATAATACGTATATAATACATAAATACCTTTTTTTTTTCAATAACAGTAAGATAATATATTCTACCATATTTTTGCATTGAGTTGTTGAAATGTAGTTTTTTACATTCTATTTTTCACTTAAGGTATAATAGTAATTACTAGCGATACTATAATATTATAATGTTATAATTAAGCGACTACAAGACATAGTTACTCCAAACCAAAAACTAATGAATATGTTGTTATTTGCTCTACAAGTATTCATTCACTAATTAGTTGGTAAGTATAAAAGTTATTTACTTTTTATTTAAAGTGTAAAAAACCTGGGAATAAAACTATTTTATGATTACAAAGGGAACTTAAATACGGAATGTACACATTATAATGAATACAATAAGATAGAGTAAGATATCTATAATGTGAAGCAACAAAAGATGACAGGTATAAATAAGGATACTGATAATTGCACAAAATAATTTCAACTTAGAGTCTTTGCATGTGATATTCAATAACTAGGAAAAGAAGAGTTTAGCTCTATGATTGCAAAAGCTAATAGTAATAAGTTTAATTATATAAGAGCAATATTGGGCATTGCACATTATAGTTTTACAATATTATGGTATTACAGCATATCTGATATAGTATTTACAGCAATTAGATGCTGTGTTTAATTAATTCTATCATTGGTAAAATGCTGTAATTCAGTAATTCTACCACCAACTATATATTGATTTATATTACGTAACCTTGCTTTTAATTAGGATAAAATTGAAAATCGACGTTTCAAAAAAGCAAACTTTTACTACATGTTTTAAAGTCCAGCTATGATATATATAGTAAGTACGATTAAAAGCTTTAATTAGATACCAATGCATTACGATACGTATTTCAAATTGGGTTTTATGGATTATAAAATAGTTTTCTGAAAGCCATTTTCTTGAGAAAACATAATATCAACTAAATCAGTTGATATTATAATTAATGCCAGCTAAACTTTGTCATATTTCAAGAAAAATAGCTTTCGAGAAACTGTACCATAACCAATTTTATAATATTATAAAAATGGTTGATAATTTTTAATTTTCACTAAGGTAATACTATATTTATTTCATCAAGAGTTTGGGCTTTAAACCAATAGTATAAATGGGAATATCTGGTTTGTAATATATGCTTTATATCAAAAAACAGGAATAACGATATAATTAGAAATGCCACTTTGTAATATTTAGATTTTTATAATATCGATAAAATAGTTTATACTGTATTTTGTATTTTTAAATTTTACAACATTTATTCAGATATTGCTTATTTGATACATATTTGAATTCGAGATATAATAAAGCTATTTGTCTGAATATTATAAATTGCGAAAAGTCTAAATAGTAAACTCAAAAATTAGTACTATAATATTGTATTACCTACTCAAAAATCTAAATGCAAAAAAATTCGGAATTACTGTACTGTGTTGAATATAGAACCTTCTTGTAAATATCCTTTTTAAGTGATAATCCATCTAAAATCAGCAGAAAATCATATGATCAACAATTAATAAATTTGAGGATAAGTTCAATAGAAAGTTTAATAACACGTCTAAATCAACTCACAACATGTAAAAAAATGGTAAAACACCTTGAAATTAATGTTACGCTGCTTATATATGGCTCTTTAGCTCCTAATTTACATTATGGACCATATTCACGATTTTGGTGGAAGCTCTCATTAGATCAAACATACTTTCCAATTGGCGTAGGTCAAAAACCTGTACGATTCTTAATGGAGAAGACTTTTATATTACAGTGTTAATTAGAGTAGATATGAAACTAGCTTTTTTATACAAATGTAGAACTTATGAATCAACTGCTTCAAGTACTAGTACAGCAATTTCAAACATTTATCAGTTAGTTTATCAAACCAAAACTCGATATTCAGGTTCCTAAATTATTGGATGAAATAATAAAAATATAAAAGAATAGTTATGTGAAGATGTAGAGTTTTATCCTACTTTGTGCAAAATTGGGACCTTTACAATTTTTATATATAATATGGTATTTTCATCGAAAACTGATTGGAATTATGATGGTAATGGTTATTAATCATCACTTATATATTTATTAGAAAAACGTCCTGCACTTTTTATATTAAGAATCGAAAATGATGAATATATTATAGAGATTTATCAAGATTTGCAAATTAAAAAAGCATTTGTTAATTCAACTCCAAATCTTGTATGGAAGGAATCTAAATTGATACAAAAATTTAACAGATCTCAATTATACAGTCTTGTAGATCAAAAAATACAACAATTACTTTGTCAAAAAAATATACCAACCTGTTCACCTTACGAATAGACTAATTTTGACATAATGAATCACCTTTTTGATTATCATCTTAAACATAGAACTCTAGCTAATATAGATTGGCGACACTTTTTTTTTTTTTTTTTTTTTAATATTAAGATGAGGCCTTGCTCGTATCTTTATTGAATAATTTATATAAGCAATTATATAATAAAATTATATAAAAAACTTAACTTGTATAATAACAAATAAATATAAATTATATGCAAGAATAAGAGCTCAGACTAATTTATCTGCGACCTAAACCTACTAGAGTGACCAAGACTTACCTAGATTTAAAAACTTTATACAAATCTAGGTGAGTTCTGAATAAGTATAAAGTTTGATAGAAGTACTATAAGATGTGTAAGATATAGATTCTTTGTGATGTAAATAAGTATAGTATTTTTAGAGGAATTTAAATGAAGATAGAAAGGAAAAAAGAAAAAGGAAATAGTAATAGTAATAGTTTTGTAAAGATTAAATAAGTTAAGTAAATTAGATTTGAAAGAAAAGTTCAGAAAAGCAAAAAAGAAAAAAAAAGAAGTAAAGTTTGTTTAAGATACTAAAAGAAAATTTTTTAAGTAAGGTAGATAAATATAAGTTTAGTAAAAACAAAAAAAAAGAAAGGAGTAATATAAAATTTAGAAGAAAATATGAATGAAAAATAAAAAAGTATAAAGAGAAATATAGATAGTAATAATTAAAAGAATTAAAAAATATAAAGTTAGAAAACCATTTATATTGTAATTAATAGATAAAAATAAAAATAAATGTTCAAAGTTTGTAGTCAGTTCCTATCATCATAGTGCACTGGGTCTGATATTGTTATTAATTGTCTGATAGATTTAGTAAATCTGTTCTAGTGATTTTGATAATCATTTTGTTAAATATAAAATAAAGTGTTTAAGTTTAAATCGATACGTGGAGGACCAAGTTAATGACGGCCAGACCCAACGTACAGGACAGGCTATGGTACCCTGCACAACTGTGAGAA